CCCTGCCCAGGGTGGGAGGGGGGCAGAGATGCAGGTGCTTCTGTGTGATCTCGGCAAACTGGTCCTGGGGACGAGCCTTGGGAGATGCTGACTCTTCCTTCTCCCAATAAAGAGCTTCCCAAGGCCCACCTTCCAGATTGGAAGGGACCTTGGAGGTCATCTAGTCCAACCCCCTGCTCAAGCAGGAGACCATTCCAGACAAATGGCTGTCCAGCCTCTTCTTGAAAGCCCCCAGTGATGGAGCCCCCACAGCTTCCAAAGTCCCTTGGCCAGAGTACAAGGCCTGCACGTTCTGGGGTGTTAGCACATTAGCCTTGTCCCTGTGAGTGAATGAAACCAAGTGGGAAGGTGGGAGAGGAAGGAGGGCTGAAGGGAGGCTCAGGGCGGCTGTCGGGGTTCGGTCCTCAGGGACTTTCAGGCAGGACAATGGCCAGCTGGGCCTCCCTGGCCTTGCAGAGCGTTGTGATCTGCCCCATTGCAGGCGGTGGGGGGGAAGTCTCCGCCTGGAGGGCCACAGGCGTCCATGGGGGCCAGGAGGTCTCCTGTCTGCATCTACAGGCCCGTTTCCATTGGCAACGTGGAAATCCTCCAGGTTGCATATGCTTTACTGACAGGCGGCGAGGCCCACTTTGGAAGGCAGCGAAGGGGACTCGGAAGTTCAGCAGAGGCTGGAACGGACTCGCTTTCCGAAGAACGCTGGAGAACCACCAGCCCCCACAAGCCTGTGGAGAATCTGCATGAAGGCTTAGGGAGCTGCCTGCTGCCAACAGGCAAGCCTCAGTAAGGACAACCAGGACGAATGTCGGGCCAAGGAAGAGTCCTGCATAGCATACGGAGAAGGCCCAGAATGCCTAGCACACCACTTCCTCCTTGGAGCCAGCAGAGAAGGGAATTGGACTGAGGGTTTGTGGGGAGGATCTGGCAGACGAAGTAAGAACTCTGAACAGGGCCACAGGCAGCCAGGGAGCCCCTCAAGTGGCCCAGCAGCGGAGGTGATGGATGGGGACTCTGCTCTTCACAGGGGCCGCAGACCGAGCGAGGGGATACCCGGCCACGTTGGGACTTTCCAGTCAGCCCGGCTGCTGGGGCTGAGGGTGCAGGCAGGATGCTGGGCACCATGATCCAGTCCCATGGAAAGGAGGGTTACTGGTTTAGGGCGAGGGCAATGGGATGGGGCCTTGGCCCTCTCACCAAAGTTCATGGCAATAAGAGCAGAGGGCTTTTCAAAATCCGATTTCCGGCGAGGTGTCAGGTGGGGATGGGAAGAGTTAAAGTGAGTTCCGTCTCCTTATCCAGTTGCAAAGGGTCAGGAGCGGAAATGATACAGGAGGAATGGCGCGCGGAAGGTTAGATTTGAGGAAGTTGCTCTTGACAGACACAGCTGTCAATCAGTGGAACAGGCAGCCTCTTGACTTGAGGGTTTCCTCCCCTTCACTGGAGGTTTTCCAACAGACATTGGGGAGGGGAGGGGGGGGCGATAGCCTCTCAAGCTCCAGGGTTCTGTGGTTCTGGGGTAGGAGGAGAGTGAACATGGATTTATTACAGCACCGGAGGCAAAAGGCAGGCCTGAAGTGGCCAGAGGTGTCCTCTATGGACTTATGCAAAATACAATATGCATTTAATCAGCACCACAAAGCACCTGATGGGATTGTCACTTCTGCCTGTGAGTGAGGACAGTTGTAGCGATGAACACAATGGCTCGGATTGGAGAAAGAGGTGCTGAAGGAGGGAGGCGCTGGGGAGACCACGCGGCTTGGTCTGGCTTCCCAGGGCGCCTGCCGTCGCTTAGCAGTTTCACCCTCCCTTGCCTGACAGCACCGTTTTTTTCTCCTTCAGCAGGCAGGCAGTTTCTGCTTCCTTTCCAAGGTCATGACTGCCCACGCTTAAGCCAGCATTAAATCAGGTTTGTAACATCTTTTTCTTGACAACAGCACATATGGCTCATTTTTTTTAATATAGCTGAGAGGCAGACAATCAATAATTAAACCAGTATCACAAAATACTTTAAAGAATCACTACAAACAAGATAAAAGATGATGAGTTTGCGGGAGCACACGCACCTATACACAATGCAACCACCCTGCAGGGACCCCCAAAGTTGCTGGAAGAACCATGTCCTTCTTTTGAAAGGTTAACAGGGATGAGGCTACACTCACCTGTATCCCAGAGGGTGGGGGGCACAGCAGACACCTGCCCCCGCTCTCCTCCTCCATGGCAAGGTGGGATGGGTGGATGTGATTGGGAACAGGTGGTCTCTCAAATAACCTGGTCAGATGAGGGCTCTAAAGGTTGAGACCAGCCCCTAGAATCGCACCTGGAAGTAACTGGCAGCCAATGAAGTATGTGGAGCAGGTGTAACACCTGCCATCCTAGAGGCACATGTAAGTGCAGCTGAAGGGAAGGGAAGCCCCACATACGAAGGGTTACAGTAGCCCATATTCTGGAGGTGACTGTGAGCCGAGAGCCCCATGGACCAGGAGGGGGGGGGGCAGCTGCTGCACAAGAGAGAGGATTTTTGTAACAGGTTCCACCCAACCACAAATTTGGTAAAGCTTTGCTTCTCCTTGGCTTCAGAGTGCACTCCGGGTCCAAGAACCATGACCACGAGGAGCTCCTGGGTCCAGTGAAGAGGAGGGTTGGCCAGAATGCTCCGCTCCATTTGCACGGCTGCACCTCAGAGTCCCAGCTCAGGATGAGGCCAGGGGCTCTCCGGGGTCTTAGCTCCAGGCCTTCCCCCAGAACAAGGCGGGATCTGGGCAGGGAAGAGGGGGCCTGGCTCAGAGGGGATTTGGAAAAGCCATACAAGCCCAGGTCCTTCTGCAGGGAGGGTTTTTTCCCCAAGTGGCCATCACAGCCATTCTCTGGGGGGGGGGGGGGGAAAGGGTAAGTGGGGAAGGCCATGGGCTGCGGGCTGCTTGCTCCTGATCAACCCTTTAGGTTTCATTTATTCTGAACATAATTAATTCCAGGACACCGCAGTGGCTGACATGTTTCAATAATTAGTACAATCAAATCACTGTAATTGGAACAGTATTTCCAAACCCTCGGAAGGGATGCCCACGGGGTCGCCATGGAGCTCCCTCTCTCTGCGTGGCACGTGCGCACGCATCAGCCCTGCAAAGTCACACAAGGCACAACCCTGCACAACCCAGCAGCACAAAGGCCAGCCCTGGTGCTTGGAGCCCCCTTCCCTCCTCCACCATCCCCGTGGGGCCTGCTGGGCCACAGCTCCCCCCTCCCCAACAGGAAGCGGTGCCTCGGGCTGCTGGATCAGCACCATGGACAGCATCCAGGCCTCCTCCTTCCCTTGCCTGAAGTCCTCCTCCCCCTCGTGACTCCCCCCACCAAGATGAAGCGCCCGATTCCCCTCCCCCCCCGTTTCCAGTCCTTTTGAGTAATTCCTCCTCTTCCTAAGCCCAGCACTGAAAATTAATCCTTTCTGCAGCAGGAGCCGCCTCCCTTCCCTCCCTCTCGCACCAACCCCAATTCTTCAATGCGTCCAAACGCTGCCCAGCTGTTCCTCAACCTCCTCCTCCCCAGCCGGTGGGACTGGAGCTCCTTACTTGAGCCCATCTCTCCTGCCAGAGTGCCCCAGATGTGCTGGCGGCCAGAGGAACATCCCCCTTCAACCATGCCCCCACCCCCCACCCCGGTTTTCTTCCCCCTGGCCTTTTGTGCCAGGGCAGGCACAGGCTGCCCTCTCTTCCCACTTGACCGTGAGGCACATGTGCCAACCGCTGAAGAAATGCACCTGGCCAGAGCCCTTCGGGGCTCCAGGGATGGCCCGGTGGGGAGAAAGAAAATGCAGGGCAGATGGACGGGGGAACCTTGGGGTGGGGGGGGGGGGGGTCCTTGTCTCCTGAGCGCCATTTCCCTGCTTTGGCGCCACTGAGGCCTGCAGAGGCTGCCTGGGTCTGCTCCAAGTCCACTCGCGGTGGACTGAGGCCGGCTGAGCAGCCCCTCCCTCGCTCCAGTCACAGGGTGGCCAGGGCAGCCCCCCCCCCCAAACTGGAGGCTCTGCTGCCGACATTCATGGCAAAATGCCCGTCTCTTGCAGCTGCGCCACCCTTTGCCCGGAGATGAGGGTGGGAGGGAAGTCAACCCCAACGTGACCTGAAATACTGGGACCACCATTTTGCGCCATGTTTGGGTCTGGCCAAGCAGTGCAATGTCCCCCCTCAGCCCGAATGCCAGCCCCGGCACCTTGGCACAATTGCCGCCTACAACCTGGGCCAAAATTGTGCGCCCCAGGCCGGCGGGGTGAGAGGTAAGGCTCTGTCTGTGCGACTCCTGCTTTGCATGGGTCCCACCCGTTCATTTGCTGGGATCGCTTCTACTCGGCTCTGCCGACGCCCGAGACGCAGCACCCGGGACAGAGGCTGCCTCAGCCTGTCTGGAAATCGGCAGCGGTCGGCCTCCACCCGGCAAGGCATGGATGGGAACCGTCCCAGCTGCGCAGGAGGCGGCGGCTTCTTCCCCCCTCCTGTGGGGCCACGTCGTTTCTCTTCAGTCTTCGTGGTGGCTCCTCAGGCGTGTGCAACACCCCCCTTCCTGGGCGCCTCTTGGCTCCCTCCAAGTTTTGGGGAGCCATGTCGCTGCAGATCTCCTCGCCAGCTCCGAGCCTCAGATTGTGTTGGGGAGCATCCGGGGCCCCTTTCCTCGCTCGAGAACGGCACTCCAAGAGGAAGGAGCCCCCCGGGCAAAGGGCTGCTACTAAAGCTCCGGGGGGCCCCTGCCCCACACACAAAACCCTTGGCAAGTGGACCACGGTTTATGGACGGTGTCCCTCGTTGGGGGAGACGGGCAGTTCAAAAATGTGAAATAGAAATAAAGAAAATAGAAAATAGGAATAATCTAACTGCACCCCCCCTCCGCAACAGGAGCAAAGGGACCTCCAGCCCCACCTTGTGCCCCCCCAGTCAGGCTGTGTCTCTGTGTCCATAGGGAAGCTGAACACCAGTGGTGCCCCCCCCCCCCCCGCCAAAAAGACAGCGCCTGGCCCAGCTTCTCACTACTTTTATTTGCTTCCAAAGCTTGGCTTAAATCGCTTCTCCTGCTTGCCCATCAGGAGGCCGGGGGTGGGGGGGGTGGAGAGGGTCTCAGCGACTGTAGCCAAATTCATCAGCATCGTCAGCGCGGAAGTCTCCGTAACGCCACAGGTTCAGCTGCAAGGAGACAAGCGGGCGGAATGAGCCCCCCCAACCCCGGAGAAAGCCCCGCCCACTCAGGCGGGGGGGGGCATTCCAGGCCAGGGCTTGCTTCCCTGCCCCCCCCCGTGGCGTGGGGAGGAGACCGCTGGCTCACTTACTCGGGCACCCTTGGCCGACTCCTGCGCGTTCAGGTACTCGGTGATCTGAAGGAGAGATGGGGTCATGAGACCGCTGGCCCCAGAGCCCCTCCCTCCCTCCCTCCCTCCCCCCACCCCACAGGGCTCACCACTTTCTGGAACTGCTTCTCCTTGCGGGGCTCCACCATGAGCAGCCCCGCCTTGACCATCCCTAGCCCCACGTCAGCCTTGGAGTCGGCAAACTGCAGCGTGACGTGGGTGCAGCTGGGCCCCACGTACTCCACGTTCAGCAGGCACTGCGTGTTCTGGATGTCCCGCACGGCACTGTCCACTGCGTCCGCTCGGGCCTCCTCCTGCCAGGGACGGACGCTGCCAGTCAAGTGGGCCGTGGGGGTGGGGAGCGCCAGGCCAGAGACGCTGGGACCGCAGGGGCCACCCTCTGCCCTCTGCCGAAGGGGGAACGGGCGCTGCCCCTCAATGGACTCCAGCGCCCCTCCCCACGGACAGCCTGGCTTCCAGTGGGCGGTCAGAGCCCCCCATGAAAACAATAGGCGCTACGCCCCACCCTCAGGACGCCAACCTCAGGATGCAGCCCCCCAAAGGAACAGGATCCCAACCGTGAATGCAAAAGCATCGGAAAGCATGAATCAAATTAAAAAGGTTAAAGGGGGGTGGAGCTGCCTGCCATCAAGCCCCCCCCCCTTTTCTCTGCTGCTACTCCTGGGGGGGGGACTACAGGACCCCTCCCCCCTCTTCCTTCCCTGTAAACCTGCCCTGGACTTACATCCTGAGGCACCTGGATGAAGGCAAACTTGTATTCGGTGGCCTGGGCTGGCAGGACCCGGGAGCCAAAGGCCTGAGGCAGGGTGGCCAGGCGGGTGGAAGGCAGGGTCTCCTTCTGTGGGGGGGGGGGGGGGGAAGCAGGCAGTTAGTGGCTGCAGCAGTCCATTGGAAACCCACCCCCCCGACTATGGGGGGGCAGCTGTGGGGGGGAGTGCCCCCCCCACTGCAGAGGCCTCAGCTGCCTCCCCGAGGACCTGCTCAGTCTGCTGCTGCCCCATTGCCCCCCCCACCCCCGTTTCTCTGGCCCCAGAGCCTCCCGTCCTGGGCAGCCATGTCTGGTGCTTCCTGCCCAGTATTAATAGAATGCCCTTTGCCCCCCCCCCCAAGCCCCCCCCCCCACTCACATTGCCGTAGTCGATGTAGAAGACGTGCACCTTGGCCAGGGACTCCACCTTCTCCACCCGCGCCCGGTACCTGGGGGGGAGGGAAGAGGGCACAGCTGGGCCTCTCCTGCCAGGCCAAACACCGCCTGCTTCCCTGCCCCGTGGCCGTCCTACCCCTGGGCCCTCCCAGCAGCCCCCTGTCCGTGCATGGGACCCCCCTCGGAAAGGCCAAGCCTGGCCCCTCCCCCTGGCGACCGGCTGGGAGACGGAGGGGTCCAAGGCTCTTGGTGAGGAAGGGGGCCTCTGGGTGACCTGGGCATACCATTCTCCATCCACAAATTTGGCAATGCAGAAGTCCCCACGACGGGGGGTGTAGGCCCCCTCCACGGGGGGGCAGGCGGCAATCTCGCCCCTCATGTTCTCCATCAGTTTCTCCAGCTGGGTCCCTGCCGGGGGGGGGGGGGGGGGGAGAGGAGGAAGAGTGAGTCAGGCCGGCCAGCCCCCTCCCCCCATGTTAGCCTGGTCATTCCCTGGCCACTGTGCCCCCCCCGCTTCTTGGGGGACCCCCAGGCCTCCCCTGACCTCTTGTGCCCTGGAGCCCCTCCCTGAGACCCCCTTCCCCCTCCCCGAGCCTCCAGTTGTCTGTGTCCCCCTAGACTGGGTGTGGGGTGCAAGGCTGCCCCCCCCCCCCCGCTGCCCTCACCCGTCTCCACATCCTGCACGTAGAAGTGGAGATCGTCGGTGACCTCGGTCACAAAGACGGGCTTGTAGTTGACCGTGCGCTCCTTCTCCTCAGCCAGGGGCACCACGTCTTCCACGGGGGGCTCCTCATACTGTGACCACACCTGGGGAAGAGAGATGGGGGGGCAGGGGGGGCGGGTAACGCAGCAGTCTGCCCTGGGGGAGAGCGAGCCCCCCCCCCATGCTAGCCCAGGCTGCAGAGCCAACTCTTCCAGGAGGGGAGGGGCACAACCGAGGCCCCCGTGCCCCCCCCATTTGAATGGGAATGATTTATTCCACTGGTTGTCCATCACCAACGATTCAACTCTTGGCGGCTGACAGGGGGGCCCCACCCACCCTGAGAGCAGCTGCCCACTGGCCCTCCAGGGCAGCCCCATGTGCCCCCCAGGGCAGGGCCCAGGGGCTGCCTGAAGAATCCCCTCCAGGAAGAGGCCCGGCTGGCGAATCTGCACAGCGCGCCCCCCCCCGCCCCCCCCTCCGCCATGGCTGCCACTGGCTGCTCCACCCACTCATGCCGACTTCTTGGCCTGCGATGCTCAGAGGTCAGCCCCTCCTTTGGGGCGCCAGGCGGACGACCTGCAGCTCCTCCTCCCCGCCTGGCCCCTTTCAAGGGGGCAGCCAGCCAGCACCTGCCCCCTTCTGCCACCCCAGAGCCGGGCATGTGTGGCCCAGGAGCTGCCCAAGCGCTGCTCCGCCTTCGAGGGGGGTTCTTAGCTCTGCCCCCTCACTGCCGGCCCTCTTCTCCCCTCAGCCCCCCCCCACTCCAGCTGTCCTTCCGGGGATCTTCTGCGCCACCTGCTCCAGCCCCCTCTTGGCCTCCCTCCTGTGTCTCTGCGATGCCCCGCAGATCCTGAATCCAGGCCTCTGTGTCTCCCCCGGGCCCACCTTGCCTGGACAGCCCAGGCCACGAGTCTCCCTGGCTGCTTCCCAGCTGTGCAGGATGGGGCTCCTCCCCCCCCACGGGTATCTGGGGTTGCCTTTGACTTTGTGGGCCTCCCTCTTCCTCGGTTGCCTCCAGTTAAGCCGCCCCCGGCAGCACCTGGCTCAGGTGCCTTCTTCCTATTTCTCAGCTCTCCTCTTGCCAACATCAGCCAGATGTTTGCTCCCAGCCTTCTCCTTCGTCCTTCAACAGGGAGGGGTGAAGCCCCCCTCCCCCGGTGTCCCTCCCCCTCTTCTGCGGCCCCCCTTGGCCCCTGGTGGCATCCGGCGCTCTCGTCTCTGCCTGGGGGGGGGAGGGGGTGTCATGGAGATTCTTTCTCTTGGGGGGGGGGGAGTCTCCCCTTCCCTTTCCTTGCTGGCTTGAAAGTTATATAAGCAACCCCCCAAGGCGCCCCACCCCAGATGGGCTGCCCAGCCAGCCAGAAGGCTCCCTCCCTGTTCTCGCTTGACCACCCCCAGCCCAATCTTCCACCTCAGCATCAGGGAGAACACTTCCCATCATCCTCAGCCCGGGGCCTTGGACAGCTGCTCTTCACCCGAGGCCCCCCGGAGGTCTCTCCTGAGCCTCTCCAGCTGCCCCCTGCCCCCCACCTGCAGAGGGCCACCCCCACTGGAAGACGCGTCCCCTGGACAAAGATGGCCCCAAGCATGGCCGGACTCCCCAAAGGCCTGAGCTAGGAGGGGCCCCACTGGTTGCTCTTTTCCTTTTAGCCTTTCCCCTCCCAAGGCAACCGGACTCCTGGAGGTTGGGACTCGGTGGCCTTCAAGGCCGACTTCCGCTGCTTGGTTCTCTTCCCGCTGTATGTAAGCCTCATCTTCTGGCAGCAGCAGCAGCAGCAGAGAAGCCCCGGAAAGCAGACTCCGCATCTCGCTTCGCTGCCATCTTTCCTGGAGGCCCCTCCCCCCCCCCCGATTCCTCCCGCTGCTGCCCTGGCACTTGCCCCCCCCCCCCCCCCCGAGGAAATTGGCCTGAGACCCTTTGGGGAGGAGGGGAAGGGCCTGCAGCTTGTGAAGGCAGCTCCCTCCACCTCCATCCTCTGCCAGGAAGCCTGACTCCCCCCCCCGCCCCCCCCCCCCCCCGGTGCCCGGCTGGTACCTTCTCCTTCTTCTGCTTGGCAGAGGCCTCGGCCACCGTCAGGGGCTTATAGTAGTTGCTGCGCTCGGCTGTGAAGTGCACTTTGGAGAGGGCCTGCTCCACCAGGGCCACCGAGAGGTTGACCCCCTCGATGTGCAGCCACCCAATGAAGTTGCCGGCCTTGTCCATGCCCTCCACTTCCACCTCCACCTGCAGAGGGACACAGCAGCCAGCGGCTCAAAAGGGGGGCCCGTCCCCCCAGCCACACCCTCGCCCTCCTTCGGGGGGGGGAGAGCCCCAGGTCATCCCTGGAGGGAGGGGCTTCCTAAGCCCCCCTCCCCCACGCCCCAGTCTTGGGCCAGGCGCCAGCAGTCGGTGGCTTTCCTCAGAGCACCAGGCGGACGGTGAGCAGCGAGCAGGGGCAGCGGAGGGCAGGGTGCTCAGCTGGGGTGGTTTCAGAGGGGCCGCCCCCCAACCGCCCAGCTGAGCCCACCTCCACAGCAGCCTCTCCCAGGGGCACCCCTGCTGCTGCCGCTGGACTGCCCTCTTCCAACCTGAGCCCCCTCCCATTTCCTGGAGGGCCGCTTGTGGGCCTGGGGTCTCTGCTGCTGCAGGGACTGGCTGAGCCCTGCTTGGAGGAGGCTCCCTGGGAGTCCTGGGGCAGCCGCCAGGCTCTCCTTCAGCTGCCTCCGGTGGGGGTGCAGGAAGGGCGTGTGAGAGGGCAGCCCCGAAAGCCACCTGAGCAGGACGGAGGAGATCTCTCAGCTGACTCTCAAGGCCCGAGGGGACCGGGTGGCGCCCTGGAGCCATAATACCCACCCTCCTGGCTGCAAACCCCCTGCATTCCTTCCAGCTCTTGTTTATCCAGTTTGAAGAGGTTTGCAGACAAGGGAGAGACCCAGCAAAGGGCTTGGGAGCTAGCCGTGGGCAGGGTGGCTCACTGCCAGGTCGCCTGCGAAAGGAGTGCCAGCTCAGGTGCCCGGCTGTGGCCAAAGGGAGGAACGCAGGGACCAGGCTGTATACAGTGCCTCCCCTGATGCCAGCACACCACTCCCCCCCTCTTGCCCCCATTAAGCAAGGAGGGCGGCTGGGGGGCTCTGTGGGGCCCCCGCCGGCTTCTCCCACGGGTTCGGTGGGTTCCAGCTTGCCCCACGGTAGTCAGCAACCGTGGCTCTGAAGCCGTATGCGGCTCTTTCATCCGTCTGCTGCAGCTCCCTGCGCAATTGATAGGGCTTCTGGTTAGGACAGGGAGAGGAAAGAGGATGCCGCACTAGGAGGAGGAGACTCTATGGTAGGGGAACTGCCATAGAGTCTGGTCAGCTCCAGAATTGAATGGGGGGGGGGCTTCCGGTTAGGACCTTTGTGGCTCTTTGAATGTTTAAGGTTGCTGACCCCTGCCTAAGACCCAGCGGCCAGAGGGACACCCAAGGCTGAACTCTGGGCCTTGTTGCTTGAATGGCGAGGCAGCCTGATTCCCCCCCCCTTCCCCCCCCCCCCCCCCCAAACTTCCGGGCCTCGGGGCCGCCCCCCTGCCCTTGGGGCAAAACCCCCGGGGGGGGGGGGGGCGGCGCTGTTAGAGAAGGTGAAGGGGAGCCCCTCCTGCCAAGCCCACCTGACTTTCCCAGGGCTGGGAAGGCCCACACGTCCTCCCAGAACGGCTGATCAACCCACTTACCCTCAGTCCTGGATTTGGGGGGGGGGGGGGGGGGGGGGGGCCCCCCCCCCCCCCCCCACACCCCGCCTTCTGCCGCCGGGGGGGGGGGGGGGGGGGGGGGGGGGGGGGGGGGGGGGG